TGCATGATATTAAATTCTCCTCAGACAGCTAATTTCTCATTCTTGTCTTTATGACCTTGACCTTTGAAAATGTCCGCTCATATTGGACTTGAGCAACTGGTAGTGTCCAGATGACTTTATAAAGTTCTTATTCCTTTTTTATTACTAAAACAATTGTTTGTTTCTTTATTGGATTTTTATTTGATATAGAGACCCACTCTATCAGAGGTCCAATCCATCAGGAGCCCACTTGCCAACGGGCAAGCTGATATCTTGGTCAGTTTGCCACTTCATATGATCATAAATAGAGTCCCATTTAACTAGTTAGTAAAAGGCAAGAGGTAAGGAATTAAGGTAATAATCTGTCTTTTCTTAAGTTTTGATCAGTTTTCAATGTGTCATTGATCAAATTTTTCAAATGTTGTAATTACAGTAATAGAAAGAAAAAAGAATGATACAAATGACATGACAAAAAGATACGGAAGAACAAATGTTAACTTAAATGTTACTGAAAAGATCTAAGCAATATTATCTGAAAAAAGACACTAGACTTTACTTTACAAGTATCCTGTTTCTTTTCAGAACACATCCCAAACGGACACTCACATACGCACACACACAGATATATATATATATATATATTTGATACACACACACACACACGCACACAAACATACACACACACAAATATTCAACTCGCCCGTCGTATTTGACTTATGAGGGTCAAGCAATTAGGAACCGACAGCCAGACACCAACACATGTGATTTGATTATAGTGGTTTGAAGGTTTTAATGAGAAGGGTCAATATATATATATATATATATATATATATATATATATATATATATATATATATATATATATATATATATATATATATATATATATATATATATATATATATATATATATAGTAGGCACAGTGTAGTAGATAGCGGCTCAATTGGAGAGCTGAGTTCGAATTCTAGTCGAATCCATTAAATTCACTTACACTTATATATATATTTAAAGATATTTTTGTAGGTACAAAATTTAATGATCGAAATAAAAGTATAAAATTTAATATTACAAGACATATTAAAACAATATTAAATAATAATAAAAAAAACCCAAAAAAACTCAACAACAAGGGGGGGAAGCAACCGGTTTCGCTCCTGCTCGTCAGGCTTCCACGGGAGATTCAATATTAAAACAGAGAAATGTACATATATATATACCGCCCCTCACACTTCGCAACACCTTTAATAGCTTCCATCTCGTTTCAGTGACGACTAAGATGACTCTTAAGCCCAGAATTCGATTTCATATGTATCATACATATATGATAGATAAACTCTATAATTGATTGGGTTGATGTGATCTATGAATCTACTGTTTGCCATCTTCTGTGCTTTCTCAGTCCAGATGATCTGCAAACCTTGTTACAAACAACATAAGTATTGTTGGCAGGCCTATGATGACCTTCCAAATGCTTTTCATAACTTGCCCTCGAAAACAGCATGCCTTGACAGACACCTCATTTCTAAGACTGCATATTAGTTGGCAAAACCGAGTGCCTCTTTGGTGATCACGTTGGATCTGAATATGCTTGAAATATTCATCCTCGGAGGCATTGCATCCCTCCCTTATCAAGTGTCTCTATACATGCATTCATACGTATATGATAACTGTAAACTCTGTAAAGAAGTATAGCCATCGCTGACAGGATTGTTCATAGGTTTTAGATCTCGTGAGAACGGCAATATCTCTTGAATCCAGCAATATTTTTATAGATGCAATAAACTAAATTGTACTGTGAGTGTGTATGTTTATAATTGTATGTTGATATCCATAAAAAATGAAAAGATTTATGCGTATGTAAGTACAAGTTTCTGTTTATATTTCTAGTATGAAGATAATATATCATTATTAATAGCAAGACTAATCTCCTCGTCTTTGTTAATATTATCACATTTCAACCGATGGATCGTCCTTCTTCAGGTGTCTCCCGACCCGGATAATCTGCGTGAAATTTTGAAATGACCTTTTTATGCAGTCTACGTAGGTTGATAGTTTCCATTACTCGGTACATGTCTAGTGATATCTAATCTTGATTAATTGTTTAGTCTTTTCATTTCCTACATAAATGTTTGCTAATATTCAACCAATACAAGCCCCAGGAGCCTCCCAATGTAGAGTTTTAGTGAACAAGGTTATTGAATGAGTATATGACGAGGAGGCCAGAAGTGAATTTCATGCGGTTATGTAAGAAAGATAACAGTTAACCCTAGACTGGAAGTGGTTAACATTGCTGGGATCGAGAAAATATCCACTTGGGAGTTTGTTACCCAAACTAGAGGTTCTCGGGAAGATGCTATGTGAGTGGAAGCTTCTCTTTACTAATACACTAAAAAGTGAAGGGTGCTAATTAGTACCAATGTACGTAGCTGTGAAGGGTTTAAGGAATGTAGCACCTCAGAACATTTTCCATGGAAATAGCGACAGTGTCACGATAGGCTTGTGACATTTCGCTTGTAGGAAAGAGGCTGTAGGGTAGAAAACCATTGATCACCGTTAAGGCCGTGTACACGCTTTTTAAATCTACCAAGACGAATTACCGTTTACTCAAATAGGTGTATCCACTAAAAATAACATTTAAAGTGATAGAAATAAGCTTGATTTAAAAAAAATGAAAATTCATTAATGCTTTGTTTACGTATCGGACACTAATCTGAGTAGATATAACATTTCCGTGGAGGGTTTGAGGACCGTGGAATCACCTCATAATTGCTATATTCCCAGGTTCACCATGAACCGTAGTGGTAGCACCTGTTAGGTTCCCAGCTATGGGCAAATTTTGAGCTTCCCAAACAAAAATAATATTAAAGTTAAAATATATTTTAATAATAAAAAATACCATAAACACATTTTTATATAAGAAAGCCGACAATACACAATCAGCAATACATTTCCTCTGTAGTTGAAAGCATACAATTGGGTTCAAAATATTTAGTTCAAGCCATAAAACTGTGTTCAAAATATTTAGATTTCGGCATTAAATAACCCATAGACATGTTGATATGTCGCTAAACAAAACCAACCAATCAAAATCTGAACGAACGAGTGGGCTTTAAAGGCAAATAGAACTTTCCTTGATAGTGAAGCTCTTCCTAAACGAGCAGTTAAATCACGCCTGATGAGACAATGGTTTCTTACAGGACTAAGATGAGAAAATTTAAAGAAGTGAAAATGTTTACACTTAGAGAAAATCGAAGTAGATATTGGCACATTTGCAGAACAGTACTTAAACAGAATAAATTAGATTTCGCACGATTCAGTTTTACCTTAAATCTTTAATTGATTCTAGTCTTAGTTTCCTGAATTTTCCTTCACTAATTAGTTTCATTTCCGGTCGCACATCCTAATAAAAGGAAGCGGCCATTTTGAAAATTTCAGTTTTCAAACCATTCGATTACTGCTAATTTTGTGTTGATAAAATAAAGAGTACATGGAGTTATAAAATGGTGTTATTGGATTGAAGAGGACGAAGCAACATGAAAAAATAGAAGGGAGTGTGCGAAATGCAAAAGAAGTATGAAGAAGAAATGTTTAGGTTAGAAAGATGAAAATTGTGAAAAAAGGTAAGAGTAAAAAAAATAATGAAGAATAAAGACCGGATAATTACAGAAAAGAAAGAAGATTTAACAGATGCGAATGAAATAAAGAAAATCGGTAAGAAAAAAAAAACAGAAGAAAATGCGAGAAAAGTGACGACAACAAGATGTAAGGAAATAAATATCGAATAAAGAGAAAGAAAAATAAATTCGTGCGTGCCTACTGAAATTTTTCATCTGGAGGCAGTAAACAGATATAAAAAGATAAACCAAACAGAAAATGCTATGAACCTAACGCAATAGGAATTCAGCCCCTGTTTTTTATTTATTTTATTTTATTTTTATTTCACACAGATTTTCCAAACATTTTCCAACATATGATGCACACCTGCAGCCAAACAGTTTCAAAAAGTTGTTTACTGGAAAACGATGAAAACTAAAACGAAAATGAACATATAACTAAGAACATATTTTGCTCATTCAAAAGAAATAGAATTCAGAAATTTTCCGTCATTCAAAATCGTCTTGCGAATCTTAACTCCGCAAAATAATATGGCAAGAAAATAACAAAAATAAAACTCAACTCTTAAAACGACAGTTACAAAACTAATTTCCCCAATCGTTGTGTAAAAAAAAAAAAAAAAATCATTTACAAAAATGCAAATGTTTACACACACATTTAAATTAAACTTAGCTTCATGCAAAATATATTTTTGAGAAGCACTCTTGCTGCTTCAGTCAATAATGATGCATGGTAAAAGGCCGCTTTTTTACTGGACTTGTTTTTATTGTAGAAAAAAATGTTTTGACCTCGGGTGTCTTTCAAAGTATTTTAATTTGAGAACAATCGTAAAAACGCAATTAATCACGTCGTTTTCTAATTAATATTTGAAATAAATCCCAGTTACTGTAGAACTTTTTAGCATGAAACTTAAACGGGTAAAACATCTGAGGAGATTGTCATTAACTCTTTACATACTAAAATTCTAAAACGACAATTGCTGCGTCGCTCTTCAAAATAAACAACATTTGATATTATCCATAACTGTACTGTACTGTACTGATGCGGCATTAACCCTGGGCGGATTGAGCCGGCTTCTTCCTGTTATGAGAAGAAGATTCTGGGGATAAATTACAGAAGTAGGGTACCCAGGCCTACTCGGATAACGTTCTTGCTTGCCGCGGGGTTCCCACAGACGCAGAGACAGGAACGACCAGAAGCCGCCGGTTACCGATGCAGACGCTCCTTGGATTTTCACCAGAGCCCTTGTTAGCCGGCGTGTGTGTCAGACCTGTCCGCCTTGGGTGGCCCTACCAGGAACGAAGTTCCTGGCGGCATAGCTCTGACACTACCGTTTACACCCCCACTCCCCACCGACTGTGAGGTAAGGATTGGACTTTGGGGGCTTACAGTACCAGGTTAGCTTACGGTCAATCACGCTGAAAACACCGGTTCTCGTTCGATCACCGAAGTTAATCATCGTAGAGCCAGGTCAGTACTTAGATAGGGAACCGCTATTATCCATAACGATAATGGAAAACTGGGAATACGATGGTCAGTACTCTATTTTCATATATATCTAAGTTTATGTGCAGCAAATATATTTGCACACACACAAACATCTATATATATATATATATATATATAGAGAGAGAGAGAGAGAGAGGAGTGTATCAGATGTATTGTAATACTTTTACAAACTATGGGTGCGGGGTTCGGATTTTTATCTGTGGGGCCACCTAAAACAATTGGTTTATGCAGCAGATATTAAGAATCCAGATACACTCCGTCGACGTGTTATGTTGGCCTGCGAAACCATTCGACACTGTGTGGGAGTATTTGAAAGGGTTCGCCAGTAAATTATCCGACGAGTGCATGCGTGTGTAGAAGCAAGCGGAAGAGATTTTGATCATTTGTTATGAGTTCTTGTGTTGAGGTACAACGATGGACATATTTTTATATATGCACATTTTGCCTTATTTTGGTATCAGAAACCCACGCCCCAAGAATTTATGTGTTGTATCTTGGTTTTTGAGATTAGCAGTGTCTTCTGTAAATGTTAAAATTAATAACTCAATAACAAATGAGTGTCGGACATATGTTTATATGAACTTGTTTTGGTGTGAGGGAAAATCTGTAAAAGTATTTTTGATATACCATATGACGTTATATCTGCTCCTGAAATATTAATTTCAGTTGAGCACTCTGGGGAGGAGGGTTGGGTTGATAAACAGTGACTATTATAGCTATATAGCGAGACTCTTCGCTAATGCGAATTAAGTCACTGTCAGTCACTGGGCGTGTTTCTAAAAATAAATACGCCAAAACTCCACCTTCATCCCTACGGCTTAGTGGTTAGAAGCTCCGAATGACACCAATTCAGTCGGGTTTCGATCCTAGCTAGAGGCAACCGGATGTCTAGCCACACTGATGAGCTGTAAACAGCGAAACAGTCTGTCTGTGGATGACGTTATATATATATATATATATATATATATATATATATATATATATATATATATATATATATATATATATATATATATATATATATATATATATATATATATATAATCATCCACAGATGACGTTATATATATATATATATATATATATATATATATATATATATATATATATATATATATATATATATATACAGTCTGTCTGTGGATGACGTTATATATATATATATATATATATATATATATATATATATAACGTCATCCACAGACAGACTGTATATATATATATATATATATATATATTGTTTAAAACCTTTGCTATATTTATTGTAGAACAGTAGCAATTGTCAAGACAAGATCGTTAGTACATATAAACAGTGGGGTTATAGACGTCAACACCACAGGATGAGTGGCAGTTTCACGCTTAATGATCTGATGGTCAAATATCACTCTCGATTGTTATGTCTACATTGTTATATATGATAGACATTCCCCTCAATTACTACCACCAGACAAGTCCACATATTGTTCATATCGAGTATCTCGAGACATAGCAATAAGAATAATTACTGGCGCTTTTCGCCGTTGTCATTTGTCTCTTAGTCAGTCAATACGACAGATTTCAAAATTTCTGATACAACTCTGGCACGAATATCTCCAGTTATTTCCATCTAGGACAACTCGCTCGAAGTAGTATGAGGTACATTGACAGCTGAGGTTACTCTTTAGCTTGTCTTTATACCTGAGCCACGGCCACCCAACAATCATTTGTCCACTGACAACCTGACTATATATGAGGACCTTTTCGGTGTCCGATTTGATACCAAATATGACCATCTAAGCAGGTTGTGATTGCATATATAAGTATATATATATATATATATAATATATAAAAGTTATATATATTTGACAGCATATCGTTTAAAGTATTCTTTTATAGATCGCTAATATTTAAGTAAATGCTCTGTTTATAATAAACAGTATTAAACATCATTTACCGGCCTGGATGTCCGAGAAATTTTCACTTAAATTTACTTAAATATTTGTATCTATAAAAAGAGTGTATAAACATAAAATGTCTTAAAATAATTGTCGGACTTTGTCCATTTCATAATATATATATATATATATATATATATATATATATATATATATATATATATATTTTCAAAAAAACGACAGACAAGGTACAACGGTTAAGCTATTTATTTAATTTTCCTTGTGTTCGAACAAGATCTTTCTTTTCTGGACAAAGGGTGTGTAATTAGTCCAAATGTTTTATATTATCAAGGATGATTCGATTTTCAACAATTGAGTGTGTGTGTTATATATATATATATATATATATATATATATATATATATATATATATACAGTGGGGGAAACAAGTTTTTGTGCACATACAAATTTTTAATTGATAGTGTTTCCAACTAATAAATAAACATACTTTTCATAATTAACTGTTGTACACAAATCAATAATAACTAAATATGCATAGAAAGCAAAAAAAAAAAGGAAATGATTTGACAGAAGTAAATCCCGATTATTCATTGTAATGGTTGAAAAAAATTATTCGTACAATACAAATTTCAGATTTTGAAACTCTTAACCTGTCAGTGACCGATCCTATTTGGTGAAATCGTGGTCGCTAACATTACTTCTAAATTCAAAATAAAGTGTATATATATATATATATATATATATATATATATATATATATATATATATATATATATATGTATATATACATATATATATATATATATATATATATATATATATATATATATATATATATATGGCTCAAATATAAATCAAATATGGATCAGAATCCGACAGAATGGTAAGATAAATAATAAATATGAAGCATTTCTCAATTGATCACGTTCATCAGGGAATGGACGGATATCTCATCTCTCCTTGATTTCAGAACAACGCAAATTATTCTAACGTTTGTTTAATCAAACAAGACAAAAGTAAAAATACTAGTATGCCTATTTCCTTTTCTCGATTACTCTGATTAAGATGAGTTAAACATGGTACATTGATAGACGTTTTCTGTTTGTTATATATATATATATATATATATATATATATATATATATATATATATATATATATATATACGTGTGTGTGCGTGCGCGTCTGTGTGTGTGTGTGTTGTGTTCCAGGGAAAATCAAATGGACTGGATCAATAAGATTTAACTCAGCTAGGAAAAAGGGTAGTAATTGAATTTCTCAATGAATATCTACGAAACACGTGAAGACCCCATCTTTAAAAAAGCCGAAATGATACGCACCGACGCGTGAAGTTGCACTAGTTTTAAAGCCACAAATTCACGCAGCTCATACCAATAAACACACTTTAATTATACGACGAAGACTCTCTAATAATGGTTCATAAAATTTTGATAATACCTAGAAGTCAATTATATTCAAACTTTGCCTAGAAACAAAAGAAAACGATTTTTCCTATATATATATATATATATATATATATATATATATAAAATATTAACACTACTGTATATATATATATATATATATATATATATATATATATATATATATATATATATATATATACAGTAGTGTTAATATTTGCGTGCTTGTGCGTGTATGTGTCCCAAGCAACTCCACTCCCACCGGTTTGATTTAATTCAAAAGCCCTTGAATATTTAAGCGCAGGGAACGATTTTTGTTGAGCTCAGATTCCGGGTTGCCAGATGATGTGTGGTTAAAAATATATATTAATATATTATAATAATTGTTTTCATAGTTCAAGGGGAGTAACTCTTATTTTCCTTTCGTATTTTAAACTAGCTAAAATTTTATGCTAGCTTAAAAGCTTTACTATCGGGTGTCATTTAAGCTAGCTACTGTTTAGTACTCTTCGTTTGGCCATCATCACAGTAGCTAGGGAGGAGTAGATGATAGACATCAATAAACTACAGAAGAACTCAAAATTGATCGCTGCGTTTAAGTACCGAATTAATCTCTAAGCTTACCTTTTAAAAGTTCAACAATATTTCTTCTGCTGACACTTAATTTAAAGATGATTTGATGTATATAGGTCCTTATTTTCCGTAAAAACAATTATTTTCATTTCATGGATGACAGAACAGGGGACAATTTATAATATAAAATTAATATAATGCAAAAATAGAAATTAGAATTAATTATACATTCAACATTTGAAAAGATAGAGAAACATAATAGTTAATTAAGTAAAACCTATATTATGGAATCTATAATAAATGCGAAATTGGAGCTAAATTTTCCCATGAATTCTTAAAAAAAAACTAGCTCTACTTTATAGTAAGTATTTACTCTGTCCCCCCACTAGGACGAGATGTGATACAAGGTCTATTTTTAGGTGGGGACCCGAGCGCGTACACCCGGGACAGGAACAAAAATTCCCCTCAGCCCCAGCAACCGTCGGTTGCGCTGGCCTCGTTGCGAGCACCAATCCCTCCCTCTGGTGCAATGGGAAGGCGTAGCCTCGGGCAGCTGTTTCCCAGGGTTGGGCACCTCTTCAGTATAATTTTCTCAGTTGTCCCTCTGTCCTTTGACAGATAAGCTCCTGAGCGCAATCATTTTAAAGACAGAGACGCAACTTTGAGGCAATATCACTCTTCAGGTTTAACTAATTTGCAGAGTGATTTTTTGAAAAAAGGCTTATTTCATTAATTAATAGTCCTTCATTACTGTTCTTTTATTCGAGGAATGTTTTGATTTTCATAGCAATTCTGATTTGGCATATCGTCTTATATAGTGCAGAAAAATTGTTTGTATAAAAATGACATTTTGTTCTCATCATGTTTCATCAGCATTAATAAACAAGAATCAATATAGGAATACGTATAACATAATAATTAACACATGAATTGTATCCCATATCAATGAATATAATGGACACTTAAAGATAGTCAGAGGGTACTTGCTCTAAAAATTTTATTGATAACATTTGCAGTATAGCTATAATAATATATATTACATTATACCGCATGGATAGCAATATTTTAAGTAATTTCTGTTCTTTTATTTTCT